GCCCTCCCCTGAGTGGGGCATCATTATGTTGTCATCCCTGCACGAAGATAACTTAAAAGCATGGAAAAAGCACGTGGGCACCATGAAAGTCATCATGAATTGCCCCGATGAAAATAACGTGAAGGCGATGTGTACGTGGGAGACACGCAATAAGACTGAAGAGGAGCAGGTGGAGTATTGGAGAAGGATGTACATGCGCATGCATGACGTCGGACCGATTCCACGATGCATCTTTAATGATAATAAATATAAAAACCGTGTGGAGGAAATCGATAACGTCCTGGCAGGTATCGACGCTTCAAATGCCACACAATATGATATGATTGGAGGTAAGGAAATGTGGCCCTCGAATGACGCACCTCACAAACTTGTGAAAGTTGTCAGAGTAAAAACACAACGCGGTCTTGAGGCGTTTGTTAACCTGCCGGTCTGTTTTTCCATTGAAAGCAAATTAATTGCAAAGTTACTCGAGGTGGATGAGGAGAATGGCATTATTTTTCGACTATTGAAGTGCAGAAAAGAATTATTGGCAGATGCTTCGGAGCGGTATGCTCCGAACGCACCCCTGAGTAGAGTCTTTATGTAAAATATAATGCCGGGCCTCAACGAGTTGCCTCCACCAGGACGTCGTCGGCGACAAAGATGTGTGCTGCAATCGAACCCCGAAAAACATCCAAGCAGACCCGTTGCATTAATAGCACTGGACCACACTCCTCCGATGTTGGATGTACAATACAAGGTGCTATACCTACCGGAGAGCAGAAATTTTCCGCTTGTGGACGGTTTTTTCTTCGTTGGCGCACCGCGGAGGACGATGGTTGGGGTGCAGGTGAGACGACGAGGGCTGAGCATGGCACCAAAGCCAGCACGGTGAGGCGGTTCAACAGTCTTCTACGGAGTTATTTTGATGACTGGGAAACTTTTGAGGGAGGCTTGTCGTGGGAGATTATTTACGTGCAGCATGAGGACAGTACGGCAATAAACGCGTGGCAGCAATGTGTTGTCGTCGCGCACGCAAATGTGACGGGCAGCAATGAGCGTGAGGACCCTCGGGCCATTGCGGCATTTTGGAATCAGCAGGTGCATCAGTGCGAGGTAGCGGTATCAGCTGAAAATTTCAGAAGTGGACGACGAACCCAACGTGGGCGGCAACCAGAGGGAGAAGGAAAAGGAGGAGGGGAATAAACAGCTTGAGTTTACTGGTGAAGTATTTTAGGGAGTATGATATATTGCCGAGTGTGTTTGTGTGTGGGTAGGAGGCGCACTTAGGGACTCGCTCTGCCGTGCGCCAAGTGATTATTATGGCCAGCGCCACCACAGCAGCACTTTTTTTTGTTGTGGTTGTGTTGTGGTTGCGAGTAAAATTGCGTGGGGAATGATGGCGCCTTGTGGGTGTACGCCGGCAGTATTCCATTGGTGGTATCCCCTCGCTGTTCCCAGTTTGTTGCTGCAGAGAGTTTGGGCGAGAGGGTAAGTTTTGCATGCTGAGTGGACTCACAGGCGGGAAAGCAAATGCGGCGGCCACCACAGCCCAGAGGTCAGGGGCAAACCGAATTATTGTGATTGTTTTTGCGTGTAGCGTGGTGTTTTTCTTCTTTTTTTTTTTTTTTTTGGGTTGCCATCGTTTTTGGTTCGTCTGTGCTCCAATTGGTGGTGGTGCCGCATGCGCCGCTGAGAGCCTTGAGCAAACGCAGTTGGCGCCTCTCTTTTGTTAGGTTGCCGTCCTGGGCGCATGCGCCCGTTCCGTCTTGTTTGGGCTGCACGCACTTACCGGGCAGTCTGAGGCTGCGGCTGCGCTGGCGTGTCGCCCTCCCTTGCAAGCGGAACGAAGCAGCAGGAAAGGGGGCTGCATGCGTCTTTTTTTATTTTTATTTTTTAAATTATTTTAGTTACGCCACGCCCCACTCCTGCTGCACTGCGCTGAGGGAATTGGGGCGGCGTTGGGGAGTTTGTAAGGGCCGTGATGGGAGGTCTCGCCGGCATGCGCACTGCGTGTTGCTGCTGGCGGGGTTTGAAGGGGCTGGGCGGGGGAGACGGTGAGCGAGGTGCTTATGAATTTGTTTTTTATTTTTGATTTCTGCGGGGCATCCCAAACTGCGGATGCTCCGTGCGGGTGCGTGTGGGTGTTTCTTATGGCGGCGCACAACAGTCGCTGCCACCGCCGTCTTCTTTGCGGCTGCCGTCTCTCGTGGGTGTGGGGCGAATGTGTGATCGTGCGGCCCACACGTTGATTGGTGTTACCTTCGTCATGGATTGTCGTTGGTCTTTGCGGTGTGCCCAACTGCGGGCGCGGGCGCTGCCCATCGTTTTTTTTTTTTCTGGTTTCACCTCACTTTTTTTCCTCAACGCCCTCGGAAGGAAAGAGAACAAACACTACTTGCTGCTGTGCACATTGAAACGCTCTGCAGTTACCACCATCACACACACACACACACACACACACTCGCGCTTGCTGCCTGAGCGGATCCACCGCACAGAGGGAAGAGAGTGTGAGTAAGCAGCGACACATGCCCAAGATGTCCTGGCATTTGTTTTCTTATTCGGTGCTGCTGCTGTTTGTACTCTTGACATGCTGTGGCAGTCAAGCTGCGGGGAGTGTGCCAGAGACGGCCGTTAATTTATTCACAGGGACGACACCGATAACTGGTGCCAAATGGGAGGGAATGCAATGCGTTGAAGGGTCAGTTCGCTCGCTTCGTGTCCCTAGCCTTGTGGAGGTGGACGGTGCTGTGTTTGCCGTTGCTGAGGCCCAGTGCAAGAATGGAGTTGACAGCTTCACTGGCATCGTATCACAGCACCTCAAGGAAATTGGAACAGAACCGACTGAGATTCCGATGGGTGCAGGCACAGGTTCCTTTCACACGCAGCTGCTGAAGGAAGGTGACAAGGAAATGAAGGACACATCG